ATGATCTGCTTCCTTTTTTTGGTGTTCTGGGTTGCTGCTGTGTGCTCTGATGAGCTTTTGTGCTCATCTAAATAATGTTATACAGGGTTGTTTTACAGCTCCTCTTGTTGGAGGCTGGTTGGTTTTTTGTTTTTTTTTTTGGTAATGGGGCACTTGGTTGAGTTGTTTTTTGATAGATTTGTGTTTCTAATTTGCCGTCATTTCCTCTGCTGATGAGGATATCGAGGAAGGATAGTGTGTTGTTGTTTTCTTCTTCCCTTGTGAATTTTATTCCTTTGAAAATATTGTTGATTGTTTTGTGTGTCTTCTCTAGTTGTTCCTTTTTTATTATGATGAAGGTGTTGTCTACATACTGGATCCATACTTTGGTTGTAAGCATGAGAGTGCTATTGTTTCTAGACGCTGCTTGTTTCTAAATTCTCTCTCTTTACTTTCTTTAGTTATATTTGATTTAAATATAGAAGTACAGTAACAACAGTTTCTAGGGGGAAACAATGGAGGAGGAACCAATTTCAACAACTCTCTTAGTGGTAATGTTAGCTTGAAATAATGTATAGGAAAATGTTTATTGTTTTCCTGACATACTGTATCATTTCCAAATACTCACCCAAAAGGAAGAAATATATTCCTTGACTTTGAATAATCAGAATGAGTTCAGATGTTTGCCAGCTCTGCTTAGAAGCTCTGACACCATTAGCAGAACAATGTGCAAAAACCCAGGAGTCAGAGTCATCCCTCTTTTTAGCAACAAGACACTTTCTTAAGGTAAGAAACATCATTCCATATCCTATTGTCTAATATTGTGGCTTGCAACACCGTCATGTAATATAGCTGGTGTTATAGCAGCCTTCCCTAACATCGCACTCACTAGGTATGGTGGGACTACATATTTGACTTAGCTGCTGGAGATTCTGGGAATTCCAGCTCAGTTCATTTGCAGAGTGTTATATTGGAGAATATATTACAAAATAGGAAATACAGGCTGAGGGACGTAAGCCTTAGTGATCCTTCAGAAAGCCTTCAGAATGAACCTTGTGCGGTGTTACTCATTGGAAGCCACTTTTTCCTACCAGAAGAGCTTTTTGGATGCAAGCCAATAATCAGGGTAACACAACATTAGATACCAGCTTTTGTAAAATAAACCCTTGTAAAGTAAACCCTTTTCTATAAGTTTAGCTGTATTGGCTACTAAGGAGCCCAAGGAGTTTATTAGGAAAAATACATAGTCCTTCCACCAGAAAATCCTATGTTTGTTGCCATGGGAGAGGAAGTTTGTGGCTATTGGTCAGGAAGCTCAAGACTCATAATTAAGCAGATAGATTTGGGGTCTCTGCTTCAGCTACTTCCCATCCATTTTGTCAAATGGTGATAATACCGCTCTACCTTATACATTGTTGCAAGCAATTTATATCATGTGTATTATGTGTATCATTTGAAAGTTAATTTCTAGTGCTGGTCTTGAAAACACAGGCTTCTACAAAATAGTTGTTACTTTCAACCTAGCACATTTTTTCTTAAAAAGTCAGGATATAAACTTATGTTTTTCAATTTTAGATGGTTTTTGATATGCTGGTACTGCAAAAGCACAATACAGAGATGACAGCTGCAGCAGGAGAAGCATTTTATACATTAGTATGTTTGCATCAGGTATGATACTTTATGTTGTCATTATCTCTTGCATGTTCCACAAGTTTTAGGGGTAGTAGAGGTCTGCAACTGAACCTTTCAGTCAGATAGAATTCACTTGGTTAGTTGAGGGAAGTCGCTATCTCTCAACCTTAAAGAAATGTTCCTGGCATCCAAAATCGGAAATACATTGACATTGTAATTCTTTTAATAAGTCAATAAGGAAGCCTTTGACATAATTAAGCTGTATTAATTTTTATGAATAACATTTTCTTCTGATCTATAAATATGATTATCTTCTTTACAGGCAGAATACTCTGAATTAGTTGAAACGTTATTATCAAGTCAGCAAGATCCCATAATTTACCAGCGGTTAGCAGATGCTTTCAACAAGCTTACTGCAAGCAGCACTCCGCCTACGCTGGACCGTAAGCAGAAGATGACCTTCCTCAAAAGTTTAGAAGACTTTATGTCAAATGTTGGTGGTCTTCTCTGTGTAAAATAAATACCAGAACTGTATGCCTAACTTAGACCCTTTTTGCGAAATGCACTGAAAAATGCTGAAAGCTGACTTAATCTTAAATGCCTGTTTCTGGGTTTTTTGCAGCCATCTAAAATTTCAGAGAGCCTGGAAGTTTTGATAAAGAGGAGTGGAATAGGAGATGTCAACTCTAAAATCAGCTTCTGCTAATATGTGTTAGCCACAGTCTGTCATATACCGTTTATGTTGTACAGAATAAACAGAAAAACTGAAATCTTTAAAAGAATTCCACAAGTGCATACAGTCATGGGCACAGTAAAAAAACAAAAACAAGAACCAGTGCCTTGTCCCAGATGGCCTCAAGTAGTGATGAATCAAACTCCTATAATATTTTTTGTTATTGCTAGAAACCCTTTTGGTGTGTGATTTAGACACATACAGAACTGTAAACCAATTCTAAGCTTTATTTTTTCTCTCTGAAAACTGTGTGTGTAACCCAGTGAAGAAGAAAACCACCAAATGATATTTTTTAACTTGGATTTAGTGTTTTTGTTTTGTTTTGTTTTGCTTTTTTTTTACATCAACCTGGCGTTGCATGTTTGTGTAATACAACTTTCTACATTATATGCTGCTGCCCTAAAGTTCAGAAAGAAGAAAGGTGTATATTTTTGTTTCCCCTGAAATGAACTTTAGGAACTGTAGCCATTTCATTGCCTTAATTTAAAACAAAAAATAGCTGATATAAGTTAGGTGAGTAATCTAAGGCAAGCTTTGAGTCTTCAAAACTGGTTTAGAGTGTTGGCACTAAGCTGCCATTGTACCTATTTGCAGCCCTTGTGTGTTGAGAGTATTATGTCTGTGAGTGTAAACAAAAATTAATGTGTACCTTTACTTTTAATATCTGTTGAGTCACACCCAGGTCATACACAACTGCAGTGTATTTCAAGACTGAATTGTTTGCTGAAGCAATAATGTTTCAAATTATGTAAATTATTGATTTCTACAATTTTTTTATGTTGGGGCATTAGATTCAGTGGCTAGACTATATGAGCATCAAACTCTTCTAGCCAAAGGCCGTGCATGTTTGACTTCATGATTCAGAATATGGACCCGTGGTTTAATATTTTGCCACCATTGTCAGATTCACAGTGCTGTCTTCTGCTGCTCTGATCCCACTTGTTTGGTGTGTTGGCACTTTAACTATGTAGGATTACCTGTATGGTTTCATCCTGCACTCACCAAATAGGAGGTTGTCATGGGAACAAAGTGGCAGGAACTCAAGAATATGGAAGCAGGGAGTTTATTCATAATTGTAAGCCAAACTAAACCAACCGAAATGCATATGCTGCTGATTAAAAGTAACCTTTTTTTAATGAAGGAAGGAGATAATTTGTCTCCAGAACCTTGTGCTTCATACTTGCAAGAACTATGCTATTGGATATTTGCAAATAAAGATTTTTACATTTTATATAGAGAAGTAAACCCTCACCTCATCCTAGCATCATGTTTGCAATTCCATGCCATTCTTGAGCTGTTCATCTCAACATTTAATCACACTACCCAGAATTATTTATATATGATTTGAAATCTTTAATATTATGGAGTGTTATAAGGGTCCAAAACTTCTTTAATTCCTTCTTATTAAGCCACAATCAGAAATCAAGGGAAAGGTGGGCCACTGTTTGCAAACCTTTCCTCTGAATTGTAATGTAGTGATTGGCTAGAGCAAGTTGTTTCCTTGAAGAAGGAAACAGAAAAAAAGATTTGCTAAAGAATGGCTCAGTTCAAAGATCACTACCAACTAATGGCTTGGCCCTCAGGAACATGCTGTGACCAATGGCATGCTGCACATGATTTGGTTTAGTATGCAGTAGTGGCTGAGCTGAGCAAATGATGGTTATTGTAGCCACTGATTGGTCTCCTAACTAGTTTCAAAATGAAGCCTATTCACAACCAGTGAATCCATAATTTGGCCATGATATCTGAACTGAGCCTAAGTTGTTCAATTCTCAATTATATTGTTCCATCTGTTTCTGTTAGTGTTATTTGTACAATAAGGGAATTGTTTTGGCTTCTAATTTGTTTTAAAAATTGGGTTTCTCCTATGGCTCCAACACAGCTATGTGTGTTTGAATTATGATGAATTCTACATGTGTCTTTTGAAATAATTTGTCAACATTTAATCTTCTAAATCAATGGCTTTCAAAATTTTACTCATGGTGTTGAAAGCAATTCTATTGCCTATATTTAACTGAGGGCAATTTATTGATAGGATGTAACTGAGTTCTCATTTATTGTGAACAACAATTCTAGTTTATAAAATTAGCGTTTAAAGGTGCCATGTGAACTTCTGGAAATGTGAGACCTAATGATTATCTCTGGAAGCATTGAAGAGTAAGTTTGCACAATTTCTTTCAAGTGGAAAATACTTGCAAGTCAATAGTGAATCTTGCCCAAGAATTCCACCTTCTTGACTATTTGGGGAAGAATCTGCTAAGCATCATCTGTTGATTTCAAGTTATTCTGTTCCAGGTTTCTGCACAAGTGAACGGTAGGTGTGCACAACAGGGCTTGGTGGATTGTTTCTAAATTGTCAAGGATTATTTGCAATTTTAAACTTGCTTCCCAGTTTAAAATGTATATTATATTAAAGGGACACTATCCAATACATTTTTATCTGAAATTTTGTAACTGTTAGAAATTTCTAAGAAGGCTATCTTTCCAGTTTTTGTATTTTTTAAAAAAAAGTGAATAATACTATCTCATCCTACTCCATCCAACATGTTTCCAGATGTCACATAATGTATCTCCACTCCTAAATGTTGGCATTTGAACAATTCAGAATCACTCTACTAACTCTAAAAGCCCACTCTGGTGCACATACAGTTTTATCACATTGGAGAACTCTTTATTACTTGACTGTGTCCAGATCTTTATAAGAAAGGAGTCTTTAACGGGATACTATGTACTTCTGTTAGTAAAAACACAGACAAAGCCAATGGAACTCAATAAAAAAAATGCATTTCAGTTAGCTGACATTCTTTGAGAAATTGGTTCATTAACATAACCACAATGAGTCTGCCTTCAGGGACTGCCTTCACAATTTTCTTGGGATATCTGTTCTAATGATAGCCATTGTTGTTCCCCACTTAGTTCCAAATTATATATTCAGCCCTACTGCTAGATTTTTCAAAACATATAAAACTGAATCACATGCTTTGATATGTAAAGAGATAAGGATAAGAAATACAAGCATAGGGAAACTGATCTTGATTTCATCTTGGGTGTCACTAGTGCTATTATGCTTTTCAAAGAAAGAAGGAAGGTCTGGAATTCTAATCTGGGCATGTTAATGCAATGTGGATGAGAGCAGACATAGTGAAAAGAAATCCTGAATTCATTGAATTCAAATATTGGCTTGTCATTTATGGTATTTAGTGAAATATATACAACTTCCATACAAAGACATAATATGAAAATTATGATAAATTGCTTAAAATCCAAATTACAGTCTGTCACATTTGACAGCTAATTTATCACAATAGAACTTGAAATAATTGTACCTGGTCCCAGCAATTATCAGTGTTAAACATATACAGCAGTAACACATATCTGCACAATAATACCAAAGTCAGTTATAATAGGCTTCCCAGTCTTGTAGGATTTTATTTGAGTGGGTTTGTTCCAATGAACCACTTCCATGCAGAACTTAAAACATGCAAAAGAACTCCATCTGAAACAACACCACCGCCTCTATAGATTATTGGAACTGAAATAGAGCAATATAATGTTTTCCATCTTGTTTCATTAATCTGTGAGAAAAGTGCATTCAGCTGAACAGCTTATATTTATGGGTTTATCTCAGTATTCTGAGATTCAGCTTCACTAAAAAGATGATTTTTTAAGAGTAGGCCCCAAAGTAATGAATATCTCCTTTTCCAACTCTTCTGGTCTGCAAAGTTTTGCAAGTACAGTATCACGTTTTGTGGCGCAATGTGGTTTGTATGTCACAGTAACAGTCATTCTGCAATCCTATATTCACTTAATTAGAAGTAATCCATTGGATTTAGTGAGCCTTCGGAGTAGGCACACATGGCCTCGTGCTGTGAATATTATCGCTTGATGACTGTTAGAGAAACAGTCTGAAGCAAACAAAGAAAATAAAATGGCAGTGTTGAAATTACACAAGTTCCCTAATTCCACTATTTATTACTGTAGCTGGAATTGATGGAATATTCCATAAAATGAAGCCATAGTCAATGTAATATAGTCACCTTTTAAGCCAGAATACTGGGGAATGACATATTTCTTGTTAAATATTTTTTGTGTTTTGTCCATGTGCAATTACTGCTTTTTTTTTTTTTTACTATAAGCTGACTTGCTCTGAAGCCTGAAAAATGGTTTTCCAGTTGTTTCTATCAAAGATAAATAAAAATAATAAATTCTGAATTCAGTTTTGCACTGACCCAATTTTCTTGCTTTAGGATATCACTAGGATGCAAGTTGAACTTGGTCCACCTACTCTTAGTAAACCAAGCATTCAGAATGGGGAGGAGACAGCCATAACCCAATGTGCAAAATATAATTAACTTTTTAACATCACTGATGCTATTTTGATCCTCTTTCTCATACAAAGCTACTTTCTGGAAGGAATAAAACAGTTATTAAATTCAACCAGTCAATTTTATTTATTATAGCCTTAAATTATTGAATATTCCAATTACTGGGGCTCAAACATGCTTCATTTTCCATTCTTCAGATTTTGGTACCTAAACTTTATATTTGGCTGAATTGTACTAGCTTGAGTTCAGAACTTAACAGGAAACTTTGAGTTTGCCAACTACCCTTCTGCTAAATGTAATGTTTTTAGATTAATAACCTGACTGTTATTAAGCTCAAAAATTATTATTATTGATTTAGGTCAGTCTCTTTTTTTAACCCAGTCCCTTTGAGCAATGGAAGATATTTAAAGCCACAGGTTGTCTGAAATGAAATTTTGCTTTAAATTAATGAGATCTGAAACTTGAAAGTCATGGAGGGATAAGCAATGACTTGATACAATTTTTGTGTAAGGAGAGGGGGAGAGAGATTTGTGCTGTCTTGCGTGATTGGATTCAGGTTCTTAGTATGCTTTCCTTTTTTAAGAGTTCAAGACACCTGCTATCCAAATGAAACGGCCCGCTCGAAAAAAGAAGCAATGAAGATAGTTAAGCAATAACAGCAAGATATCATTTTGTTTTTTAAATCAGATTGCAATCCTAACCAGGTGTCATTGACAGTGGGTGTTTAGAAAGTAGAGTCAATGTTTTGAATTGCATTTGGAAACCTCTCTGTAAATGCAAATGATAATCTTGGTGCTTCAATGTGTGAATTTCAGTACTTTCGATTTTATTTTTTATTAAAAGGGGCAGGTTCTCGTTAAATGTTTCATTGCAGAAATGTGTTTAGTTAAAATTCCAACTCTTTCCTATTGCATCTAATCCTTGTTTTTATATGACTGGTCTCTTTTAAGGCTTGTCTTCAATTCTAAAGTGCATTAGATTCCCTTTTACCAAAAAAGACTGGCGGGTTATATGGGAGCCTTACATGTCTTGTACCTGCTCAAGGACTGGGCGGTTACTACGAGAAAGGCTGCAAACACAACTGTGTCTGTTTATGTCTCTGGCTGTTTCAGCTAGGGGATCCTAATTCAACCACTGCAAAATGGTTGGGGAAAGAACTTTCAGTGGCCCCTAACAGATATGTTTGCAACGCTGTTTTAAATATTGTCGTTTCTACTGTTTGTTCTGCTTGCTATGCTCCACTACTTTTCAACAACATTTTGCTATTTTTGAACTATTGCTGTATTTCTAAGAAACACCTTAGGAAGATCTCTTCTCACAACATCAGCACTACTGGCAGTGAATTCTTATACTCTTCTACCCATCCTTAATGAAAGACTGTTGGCCAAAATACTCTTGGACTGCTTTAAGGCTGTTACGCACTTTTGTGACTTTATGGCTGTTGAAAATGAATTGTCTTGCAAATATTTTGATAAACATATGTACTCAATGAAAAACAAAACTTAACTGCCTCAGGAAAGCAAGTTGCAATAGATACCTGTCTCTTCTTTTTAAGTGGAATATATTAATCTGTATATTTTAAATAGCCAGATTATGTTTAGAAGCTAGAACTTTAAAAGGGGGGGGGGAGGTTAATATGAAAATGAATAGGTCTATTTGCTTTTAAATGTTTTTGTTCTCCAAAATTCATTAATGTTAAGTTACATATTTACCTAATAGGTAACAAGGAAAAGTCAAAGCTATTTTAGCTTAGTTTTTTTCAGCAAGGAAGTATGTGTTCCACCAGACAATTGTGAGGAGTAGAATGAAGGGGCAGGGTAGAAGTTTGAAATATACTCAGGAAATACTTATTTACTTTGAATTATTTAAATCTTTAAGGATAGATGAATGAGATGTTAGGGACTGAAGGAATTTGATGAAGGTTTGGCTGAATAATTATACATGATCGATAATGAAGCTCAAGCTCAGATACTTTGGTCACCTAATGCGAAGAGAGATCTCTTTGGAGAAGACCCTGATGCTGGGAAAGATTGAAGGCAAAAGGAGAAGAGGACAGCAGAGGATGAGATGGTTAGATAGCAGCACTGAAGCAATGAGCATGAAACTGAGCAAACTCAGGGAGGCAGTGAAGGACAGGAAGGCCTGGCGCGATATGGTTCATGGGGTCACGAAGAGTCGGACACGACTTAACGACTGAACAAAAAATCTTTGAGATTATTGGAGAAGGCTAATTGTCCTTTTCTTCAAAAGCAAAAAAAGATTTGACGAACCATAGACCAGTCAATCTGACATCAGTATGTGGGAAGATGCTAGAGTAGTTCATAGAAATCATTCTGAAAGCACCATGAAAACAATGTAATTAACATATATGAGCATCAAGTCTTGACTATTTCAGTTACAGTAGCAATGAGCGCACCTTGGAAGACCAAGTTAGGGGCAGTTTGTCATGGAGAATATCTGTGTGTTCAATAAGCATCAACTATGACTTGATGGCACATAAACAATCTTGACCGTTACTTCATCAGGTAACTTCCGTAGTAGATTGTGGGAATGCTATATGTGTACCATAATTTCCAAAAGGCATTTGACAGTGTCCTCTGACATTTTAATTAGCAAGCTAGTTAAGTGTTGGCCACATATAGCTGGTTTAAAAATCACAATCAAATTAGAGTAAAATATTGCATAGATGCCACAAAGTTCAGCCTGGGTCCTGTAAACTCTAACTTTTTTATTAATTTAGGTGAAGAAACGGAATCACACAAATTTGGGGGGGGATACTACATAGAAGATACAAACAAAATGTGAAAGAATCTTGGTAAGTCAGAGAAATAGACTGGGGGGGGGAAGCAAATTGAATACAGTCAAATGTGAATTTTGTCAATGAGGAAATAGTCAAATAGGTAGGTATGGATATCTGAAATAATAATAATAAAAAAATCTGTTACATAGAAAGGAAGCCCAGATGAAGTACTGCCAAGAGATAGAAGCGGTTTTTGTGACAGACTGGATGCCAGTCTCTGAGTGATTTAATGTGAAGATAATTGATAAATAGGGCTTACAACCAAAAGCCATTGTAAGATGAAAGGACCAAAGAACAAAACAATGGTAAACCCCCTGAAAATCACCACACCACAGCAAAAGCAACCATCTTTTTTCCTGTCTTCTATCCTGCCTCGTTATGACCACTGTATGAGATCCAAAAAAAGGTCTTGGTACAATAGTTGATTACAAACTGAACGTGAGTCAGTATGATATGACTATAAAAAAAGGCAAATGCAGTTACAGCTATATCAACAGAACTATAATAATAGTAATAGTTGCACTTGATTCTGCATTGGTCAGACCCCCTCTTGAATACTGTGTGGAACTCACACTTTTAGAAGGATGCAGACAAACTGGAATGAGGATCTTCAGAACAAGTCCTATGAAAAGACATGGAACGAATTGGAAAATGTTAACCTTAGAAGAGTGGGGAATATCATAGCATTCTTCAAATATCTAAAATAAGAGGTGTACAGTCACTAGATCCAAAGTCAGTAAAGTGTTTTGGATCCAGCACTGATGCCCCCAGCAGGTGCAGGGAGTGCATCCATAGTGAATCTAAAGCACTTTTCTTGCTGAAGTTCTGAAGGCTGTACAACTCTGTGTCTGAAAGGAGTTACATAAAAGGAGGTCAGGATGCAAGACATTGAATGATTTAAATTACTGGAAGGCAGATTCCAATTTTTTTTTAAATCCTAACAGAGCAGTGTGACAGTGTAACCATTGCACAGAAAGATGCTGGGTTCCTGCTTACTGGAAGCATCCAAATACAGATTGGACAATTAACTGTCTCAGGGTGCTTTAATTTTGATTCCTGCACTGAGCAAGTTGTCAAACTCTGCTCAAATGCCTAAATTCCCAACACTCTGATTGTAAGATCAAAGGGAACATAGGTTCATGTATTATAATTTCTCTTTGGGAATCCTGATGCTGTACAAGCTATTTTGTTATCTAAGTATTTGCTTTGCTTCTGTTTTTCCTGGTTTTGCTAAATATATTTTATATCTTCTGATTGTAAAGTTATTATTGTGGAGTCCTTGGTGCTTCTGAACTTGGTTGATTGCAGATGTTTCATTACCCAACTAGGTAACATCATCAGGGCATGATGATGTTACTAGTTGGGTAATGAAACATCTGCAAACAACTAAGCTCAGAGAGCACCAAGGACTCCACAGTTCAACCCTGAGCTTCATATATTCTTCTTCAAAGTTGTTATTGGTTTGGGAGGTTGTTTTACTACCTCTACAGATTTAATAGTGTATATAGTGTGGCTTCGAATTCAGCCTCAACACATCTAGGTTGAGCCAGTTAGGAAGAATGTTTAGTGGGGAGGACAAGACATTCTTTCTTTGGAAGAGAATGTTCCATATGCAGACTCAATGGAAATCTTAATTTTTCACATGTAGCAGTCTCTCATACTGTTCTCCCAGCACTTGGATTTGGGTCACATGATTGATATAATATTCTACTATATCAGGTGAAAATTGTTCCTGGAGAAAAGCTTTAAATTATCCATTTATTAATTTTTAAGATATAGATGTGTTTTTCACAATGGCTTACCAAAGATACATATGATATATCATAGTGGTAAGATCCCACACAGGGTGCTATTAAAACTTGTAATTTTTTTTTTAAAAGGAGAGAAAGTGGAAGGAAAGGAGCATTTCTGATCTCATCAGAAAACTATATTAAAAAGAAAATAAGTAAAATTAGAACTGTGGTTTGATCCTATTTTGATGCAGGAGAAGCAGAGATTTTGTTTCCTTGCATCTTGTTGTCTCATCATATCACTATCCCTGCTTTCTCGTATCCCACTTCTCCTAAATCCATCATCCAACATTGTGCATATCTATCAAATTAGCAGTGGACTTTAAGGACTAGTCACAATGTTGCCTGAAAACACCTTGGAACAAGCTGGGTATTCAAAACATCTTTGGATCTGGTAGATTTCCCATTGTCTCTACTTTCAAAAACTGCAATCCAGAAGTCAAAATAAGTTTATGAGATGACCTGCAGGTTGGCTGTTTAAAGCACACGCAACAGAAAAAGTAGTTCCAAACACTGCAACAGTATTTGATTTATTAGCCTACTATCAAAGAATGTACATGCAGAATTTTGAAATCTTACTATGTAAGAATTTTGAAAGCATTTATTTTTGTCCTTTTTATACTGGCTTTCAACCATGTTCTGAAGAGATTTTTTTAAAAAAACAAAACAAAGGTAGATTAGCTCAATTTCCGTTTTCAAAAATCAAGCCCTTGTTTTCTTGCTACTTCTCAGAATTTAGCTTGGCAATATTCTTCCTCAGTACCCAATAATTTCTTGCAGCCATCTAACATTTGAAAGGCAATCCTCATTTAGCACTATAAACATGGTGTCATGTGCCAAACATCAGCTTATGATAACTAATTTTTTCTTTTTTTTAATCTGAATTTCTAGTTAATGATTGTGGTGGAAAAACTTCTCCCCCTATAATAAACATAGTTAGGCTACCAGGTCTAGGCTGCAACAATGCAAATGACTACTGGATGGCAACCTAAAGATACAGAAATCTCTACCTCTCTGCTTCCACCTAGTGGTTCTGCAATCCAGTTATGAGAGTCCTTACATGGATCTAGCAATTCGGTAGCCCTTGTTTAGCATCTGCCTGTACAGCGAACTTTCGCAGTTACAACAGTGATGAAAACAACTTTGTGACCAGTCCTTGCATTTACAACCTTCGCAGGTCTGTAAAGCAAAGGAAAACAAGATCATAAGCACAGGCACAATTTCACTTAGTGACTGCTTCACTTAACAACCGAGTTGCAGGTCCCAATTTTGTTAAGCAAGGATTACTTGTATGCAAGTTACTCGTTAGAGTGGGACTATAAATCTAATTCTGTTCCTGCAGCCTGCCTCATATTTGTAGGCTCTTAATTGACAAGAGTACAGTACAAAACATCCAGTGTAAACCTGTTCCTTTCCTAAGACAAAATTATTGAGATTGTTTGCAGAACACATTTATGCTTAGTTAATTTAACCATGAAACTACAAGTTTGGAGAGCCAGTTTGGTGTTGTGGTTAAGGCATCAGGCTAGAAACCGAGAGACCAGGAGTTCTAGTCCCACCTTAAGCACGAAGCCAGCTGGGTGACCTTGGGCCAGTCACTCTCTCAGCCTCAGGAAGAAGCAGGCAGTGGCAAACCACTTCTGCAATCTTGCCAAGAAAACTGCAGGGACTTGTCCAGACAGTCGCCAAGAGTCAACACCGGCTTGAAGCCCCCCCCAAAGAAAAACTATTTTGGGGCAAATCACTAACTACACAGATGGGCTTTGCGTAGCACATTAAGCTAAAATGTGGTTGACTGGTCTGCAATTCGGTATGTTTAGCAGCCATAGTATAACACAATTATAAATTTATCTAATAGCCTAATAGAATATCACTGTTTCTGCCTGGCCTTTCTATGACTTGGCATCAGTGAGTTTGTC